CAGCTTGAAGATGGGTGGACTTCAACTCCCAGAATTCCCGAGCCAGCCATGCTGGCTCGGGAATTCTGGGAGTTGAAGTCCACTCATCTTCAAGCTGCCAAGGTTGAGAAACAATGCTTTAGAGTGCTGTGTGATGCCCTAATGATGCTGGGAACTTCCCACATGTCCTGTCCACCACCATAATGAAAGAGAGCTTTTACATTAGAAATGTAAAAGAGTTTTGAACTAATATGCGCTATGGTGAGAGAGTGATAAAAAAATAAATCCTTTCTCCAGCAACCATTGTATGTGATAGCAAGTGGCTCTTCCATGATGAAAATATCTAGTTCTGGAAGAAAATGGAAGTGTTAAGCTGCTACTCAATTAAAAAACATGTTCATGCATTTGTTATTCCATTTCAACTTCCTTCTCCGCGGGCAGCTGTTTTCAGAGACTCCTAGGTTTTATCTTCATTTTCATTTACTAATAAATGTCGGCATTTTTCAGAATAGACTTATAAATACATGAAATTATGAATAAACATACTTTCCATTTGAGACTTTTCATACTGTATATCCAAAGTATTTACTGTGTTCTGATCTCATAATATGTCCAGTCCTTGGCAGAGTATTGATTTCCTTAAGGCTGGGTGCAGACAGAAGCTGCTGTGTATGCGCTTGGTGTCATTGCTCCGCCCGAAGGAGATAAACCTCCAAAGTACATTTTACATAAAACCTAAAGAGATTGCTCCCAAGTAAGGTAGGATTGTCTAGCTCTAGCAACAAGTTAATTACTTCATAGTGATTTAGTAAATCAAAGGTGGGAGCTGGTCTTTTCCCATTTGTATTGGCATTGCTGTAATAGTGCAAGCACAACTGAGGCTGGGCTATGTGTGATGTCAGATGCACATAAGAAAAAGGCAATGTTTTCAGCACAATGATGCAATCCCACTACCATCATTTTAACAAAAACAGTTCCTGTGATTCCTCTGGCAACAGATTTATTCTTCTCTTATACATATACTATATTAATTACTGGCAACCTCTCTCCTCTTCCATCTCAGCTGAAAGCAGGTGCAGAGAAGTCGTAATTTGGTCCAGCATCTCTGTGGCTACTGAAACCAACATTTCCACAGCTGATATTCAGAGTTCCCCTTTTATATCCAAATGTAATTAAATTGGGAAATCCAATCAAATTCCATTTATTGTTTCTGGTTTTGGACTAATTTTATTCTATTAATATGTCTTATGAATGCCAAGGATGTGTTTTAGATGTTTATGTCATTCCCCGGGGCTCCTTTTAACTATGAATTAACTATGACTGGAACTAATATATTCTGTGGATCATTTTTTATAGACCAGGAAGTTTTTGAAAACAGAAAATCAAGGCCAAAACAGGCTAGTCCTAAGAAACATTGGGAAAGAGCCAACATTTCATGCTCATCTTACGCACAGAGAGAACTGAAGCCAAGGTTTGCTTATTTAATATTTAATACAACTGTGTGAACAAAGCAGTGCATTTACAAAAGGCATATCTCCTCTGTGCTCTGGCTTCTGTTTTTTAAACCCAGAATTTATAATGGTTCCCTGCAGATTGCTTTATACTTTATAAATATCTCATGATATCAACACTATTCTTTTACAATCACACTATGTACCAGTCCTGAATAATCTTTTACTATTTTAAAGAGAATACTGGCTTCCTCTGTTAAGGTTTTCCTGTGCAACTATTTCCATTTAATTATCAAATACTAATTTGAGATGGATCATATTGAATCTAGTACAAGTAATATTTTACACCCATATGTAAATTTCTCTACTAATATCTTTAGTGTATTCCTAGATGAAAGCAAAGACAGGCTGCAGTAGTAGAAATTACACAGAAATATGGTAAATCTTGTTAGTGGTGGTTGTGGCCAGTGTTACTCCCGGTTCGCTTGTGCGCATGCACGTGTGCACTGGATGCACACTTCATGCGCATGTGCAGTTCAGTGGAAATTATACTGTGTGTGTGCAGAATTAAAAAATGGCAGAGGTGGCAACTGGGGAACTGGTTCCAAGGCGTGTCTTTTTCTCAACATTTTTACACTCTTCTGTGCTTTGCATAGTTTGCTTACCGTAAAGGGAATAACATTGAACTGCATGCATGAGTATAATAATCTAAATAAAAACAATAGGTCTTGGCATAGGCGTTGTATCACCAAAATGCATGAATTTCATGAGAGTGGTGAACTTTGTACGTTTTTAAGACTAAAATTAGAGAGCCTGTTTGGTGTAGTGGTTAAGTGTTAGGCTAGAAACCCGGAGGCACCTGAGGCCTAAAACCAGCTGGGTCACCTAGATCTGGTCACATTTTGCCCTAGGCAGAAGGAAATGGCAAACCACTTGCAAAAAACCTTGCCAAGAAAACTTCAGGAACTAGTCCAGGCAGTTGCCAGAAGTCAAAACTGAATCAAAGGCACAAACGCAAAACAAACTTAATTGCTTATTCCTTATTTTGATTTTAAATTTTTCATCTTTTGACTATTTGAAGAAAATTGTAAGCTGTTTATTTTTGGGCAGGTTAGCACTAAATTTGATTCTCCAGTAAGTCTAACAATCTGTTTACTTATCACAGCAGCTCAGCTATGGAGGAGGATTAGCTCTGGTGGCTGTTTTCCCCCTTAAAGATGGCAACACAAGCTAAAGTAAGCTATATAAACAGGAAAATATGAGTGTTGTCATCCAGAATCACCACGCTTGCCTCGGCTACCTGCATATTTTTCCTTGTTTAAGGCATGAAGGGAAAGTGTGAAATGGATAAGTAACAACTGGCCCAGTGATTTTGAGGCTGAGAAAAAATTAAGCTATACACGTAAATCAAACATTCTAAATTTTGGTCCACAGAACATCTTCTGTAATTATTTTTATTAATGTTGCACTATGTTTTTCTCTGTAGTAGATCACGGTGTGTCCAAAGACCTGCAACAGGAAAGAAGTTAATAAGGAAGAGCAGTTATAATTCCCAGAGCCGCTTACCTTCAGGTTTGTAGAATTTGAGGTGACATCCTTGTTGTCAAAAATTCTGTTCAGGACAATGGCAAGTACTCATTGCCACTATAATTAAGTTCATGAGAAATAAAACAGATTAAAATGTTGTTTTTGTAACAGATCTTGTTTTTCAATAGTACTTTTAGTAGTAAAATTAACTAATTGTATGGGATGGAGCAAGGATTGTCTACTTACGTATCTAAAGTACATAGTTTTTTATATCCTGGGTTTAATCAGTTTAGCATGTTTTCATAAGGAATCTGTTACATCATAATAAACTTTTTTTCCATGTTAATTTTTTGTGGGGGCTCTGCTATCAGTCATGGGGTGATCTGCACTGAACAGGTCAGTGCAGATTGCTTTAATTAAAACAAGAATCAACCTCTCTGGGAACCAGTTGAATAAAATGAGTCTCCATTTTGAAATAATAAGATACAAAAAATGATAGTTTCTGCCATTTAAATGCTTTGTTTTGTTTTAGTACTATTTAGTGGCTATTCTCTTTTTGTATTTTGTATAGTGATTTTGTATGTGGTCATGTTATTGGGGTAGGATGGCCATATAAGTATTCTAAAAAATAAAGAAGCAAACAAATTATTTATCCATCCATCTATTCTAGTAATCAGAGACTGGTTTTTGGTTTATTCATAACAAAATTGGTTTCTAAAATTGGAAATGTACCCAGGGGGTCTGCTTAAAACTATAGTGGACTTGACCCAATGGCTCATCAGCATTTTAATTGACATCATTTACTAAAAGGGTGAATCAACGATTTGTTTTAGAGAAAAATAAATACAGTTTGAAATCATCATTTGCTGCTGTCTCTTCTGTTTGGCAATGTTTCATTCCTGCAAAGTATTGGCAGTCAACCTGGCCTCTGTTGACCTGTGGCAGAAGTCAGTGCCTCTTTTTGTTAACCAACAGTATGCAGAATTTAACATTTAGTTGGTGCCCTGGCTTCTGAATTACAGCATTTTCTCTCAATAACTAAATTCTGCCTGTCTCCCCTCTGCATAGAAATGGAAGAATAATTTGCTACTGTCACCATTGTTCAGAATAAGCCATGTGACTTTGGCCATTTTCTAAAAATATTTGATCTGCACAAAAATTTTCTGTGCAACAAAATATTCTTTCTGCATATAAATTCCCACGGAAATCTGTTAAAATGCATGATGTCATAGGTTTGTAGCCAGGGAGGTCTTCCAGCAGCTGGAATCACATTATAGCATAGAGCATCTGCAAATGTGGATGTATAGGAAAGCTTCCTTGATCCCAAAGCGTGAAAGGTAAAATGAGGCAAGAATTTATTTACGCACTGCATTTACAACACAGAAGACTGTAACTGATACTTTTAAAAGGGACTAGGAAACTGAATGGGAGAATCAGAGTACATTTTGTTGAAAATTTAGCCACCAAAAAGCTCTGAATTCAGGTGGTAGTTTCACAATTCGAACTGCACTATAGTTGTGCCAGAATACATTTTGCTTGGTAGAATAAGAGATTGTTTCTGCATTGCCTACATTCAGCAGAACTAGTAAGTTTGGGCTGGAAAAATGCAGACAGATAGGAGCAAATATCACTTTGCTATAATCAGCTATGATAACTCAAGCATTCAGCATGTCAAAATGTATTATTTTTTCCATTCTCACATCTGCCAAGCAAATGACTCTAAAACACTCTTGTAAAAAAAAAGAATACTTTAATATTTTAGTGCAATAGCTGTGCAACTTGAGTTACAATGAAAGGAAATTGGTATGAGCCAATGAAATTTCAAATTGTTCGGTACATGTTCAAGATGAATGTATCTTGAGTTACAGTGGAATTTAAATGAATATTGTCAATTTCTATGATTCTGAAAAGCTTGCTGTGCTGTCCCAAATAACTGCATATTTGGGAAACTCAAAGTTCATATTTCTTTTCTAGGGACGCAACGTAGGTTGCAGTATGAAAACGCTTCTCAGTATTATAACAAATTAAACATGGTAAGCATATGTTGTCTTCTAAGTTATACATTACAACTGTAGCACAGAAGCATTTGGAGAATATATGTACACCATTATGTAGTTAAGGTTTAGAAGTAGAACTTTAATAACATTATAAATCAAATCTTTTCTAATTTTCTGGATGAGAAGTTATTTAAGGAACTGACTTATTACAGCCAGTTATTATGATTCTTAAAGCCACTATATATTTTTTCAGGTTTGTGCAGAAGTGTGAAAAAAAGTTGGACTGCTTTAATAGAAATGAGATATTGTGTTCATGAGAAGTCTGAAATACTTGAGAATTATTTTTGAAACCCGCACAGCCATAATTGGAGACAATATAAAAAGCATTTTTTAAAAGGACTATGGCAAAGTTTCTTGTAGTTTCAGAGGTGATTCATGAGTAGCATCCAAAGATGTAGAAAACCTGTTGCAGTTTATGCTTGCCATACTCTTAAGCATTCAGGGTCAGGAATTAAAAACAAAACATTGTCAGCAGTCCAAGCATGCAAAAGAAAATTTCTCAAACATAAAATATACAAATCAAAGGACACATCGAATGGGATAGACAGCAATAGTTTGAGAATTGATATCCTTCACACCAGCAGACACGGAGGGTGCCCCAGCCACACAAACAGACCAGGACGACTTATGAACGATCTGGGCCTTAACTTTCTTTACATAAATATTCCAATAGAGGAACTGGATCTATTTAGTGCCTGACAAATGATCAAGCAGGATACACAGGTGGGAGAGTATGTTTATATAGGCCACGATAAGGGAATTTCCAGCATTTTATCTGCAGGCTTTTCGTTTTAAATATGTTTTATTTTCATTTTCATTT